TGTGAAGCATATGAAGCATATGAAGCATATGAAGCATACGATGAAAAAAAAAGAAAAGAAAAGCGCGAAAAAAAAAGACGCGCGCGCGAGGGGGATTAAACCGGCGACGTGGTGGACAGACAGACGGACGGACTAGAGCGCGCTGTTCGCGCGAGTGGGCCGTAGCTCCTGTGCTGGCTGATGGCTGATACCTGCATTGCGCGGACAGTATGTGTCGTGCTTGTCCGTTGCATATGCTTGCAGATCGCATATGCTTGCAGATTGCATATGCTTGCACATCGCATCTGGCATATGCTTGCAGATCGCATATGCTTGCAGATCACATATGCTTGCAGATCGTATATGCTTGCAGATCACATATGCTTGCAGATCACATATGATTGCAGAGCACATATGATTGCACATCGCATGTGGCATATGCTTGCATATGAAGCATTTGTGCATATGAAACACATGTGCATATGTGCATATGAAGCATATGTGCATATGTGCATATGTGCATATGCTTCATATGAAGCATATGAAGCATATGAAGCATACGAAGAAATGCTTGCAGATCGAATGTGGCATATGCTTGCAGATCGCATCTGGCATATGCTTGCAGATTGCATATGCTTGCAGATCGCATATGCTTGCAGATCGCATATGCTTGCACATCGAATGTGGCATATGCTTGCAGATCGCATCTGGCATATGCTTGCAGATCGCATATGCTTGCAGATCACATATGCTTGCAGATCGTATATGCTTGCAGATCACATAGGATTGCAGATCACATATGATTGCACATCGCATGTGGCATATGATTGCATATGAAGCATTTGTGCATATGAAACACATGTGCATATGTGCATATGAAGCATATGTGCATATGTGCATATGTGCATATGTGCATATGTGCATATGTGCATATGAAGCATACGTGCATACGTGCATATGAAGCATAAGAAGCATATGAAGCATACGAAGCAAAAAAAAGAAAAAAAAGCGCGCAAAGAAAAGAACACGCCCGCGCTGGGGATTGAACCGACGATTTGGTGGACAGAGGGACGGACGGACAGACGGCGAATCGGCCCAAGGCCTCCGCTCCAATAGTCGCTACGGCTACGGACGGCGGAGCGGCCTAAGGCCTCCCCTAGACTAGAGCGCGCTGTTCGCGCGAGTGGGCCGTAGCTCCGAAGCATAGCGTAGCATAGCGAAGCACATAGCGTAGCATAGCATAGCGTAGCATAGCATAGCATAGCGTAGCATAGCGTAGCATAGCATAGCTATGATGGCATAGGCTTGCATATCGCATATGCTTGCACATCGAATGTGGCATATGCTTGCAGATTGCATATGCTTGCAGATCGCATATGCTTGCAGATCGCATATGCTTGCAGATCGCATATGTTTGCACATCGAATGTGGCATATGCTTGCAGATCGCATCTGGCACATGCTTGCAGATCGCATCTGCTTGCAGATCGCACATGCTTGCAGATCGCATAGGCTTGCATATCGCATATGCTTGCACATCAAATGTGGCATATGCTTGCAGATCGTATATGCTTGCAGATCGCATATGCTTGCACATCGAATGTGGCATATGCTTGCAGATCGCATCTGGCATATGCTTGCAGATCGCATATGCTTGCAGATCGCATATGCTTGCACATCGGATGTGGCATATGCTTGCAGATCGCATATGCTTGCAGATCGCATATGCCTGCAGATCACATATGATTGCACATCGCATGTGGCATATGATTGCATATGAAGCATTTGTGCATATGAAACACATGTGCATATGTGCATATAAAGCATATGTGCATATGTGCATAGGTGCATAGGTGCATATGTGCATATGTGCATATGTGCATCCGAAGCATATGTGCATATGTGCATATGAAGCATATGAAGCATATGAAGCTGCACATCGCATGTGGCATATGCTTGCATATGAAGCATTTGTGCATATGAAACACATGTGCGCATGTGCATATGAAGCATAGGTGCATACATGCATATGTGCATCTGAAGCGTGTATTAAGCGGGTACGGCATTACTGTAATGTAACAGAAGACTGCATCTGCTTGCATATGCTTGCAGAGCGCATAGGCTTGCATATCGCATATGCTTGCACATCGAATGTGGCATATGCTTGCAGATCGCATATGCTTGCAGATCGCATATGCTTGCAGATCGCATAAGCTTGCAGATCGCATATGTTTGCACATCGAATGTGGCATATGCTTGCAGATCGCATATGCTTGCAGATCGCATATGCTTGCAGATCGCATACGCTTGCAGATCGCATATGCTTGCACATCGAATGTGGCATATGCTTGCAGATCGCATATGCTTGCAGATCGCATATGCTTGCAGATCACATATGATTGCACATCGCATGTGGCACATGCTTGCATATGAAGCATTTGTGCATATGAAGCATATGTGCATATGTGCATATGTGCATGCGTCGGCATATGCTTGCAAATCGCATATGGACAGTGCTTGCACATCGAATGTGGCATATGCTTGCAGATCGCATATGCTTGCAGATCGCATATGCTTGCAGATCGCATATGCTTGCAGATCACATATGATTGCACATCGCATGTGGCACATGCTTGCATATGAAGCATTTGTGCATATGAAGCATATGTGCATATGTGCATATGAAGCATATGTGCATATGTGCATATGTGCATATGCTTCATATGAAGCAATGAAGCATATGAAGCACACGAAGAAATGCTTGCAGATCGAATGTGGCATATGCTTGCAGATCGCATCATATGCTTGCAGATTGCATATGCTTGCAGATCGCATATGCTTGCAGATCGCATATGCTTGCACATCGAATGTGGCATATGCTTGCAGATCGCATCTGGCATATGCTTGCAGATCGCATATGCTTGCAGATCGAACGTGGCATATGCTTGCAGATCGCATCTGGCATATGCTTGCAGATTGCATATGCTTGCAGATCGCATATGCTTGCAGATCGCATATGCTTGCACATCGAATGTGGCATATGCTTGCAGATCGCATCTGGCATATGCTTGCAGATCGCAGATGCTTGCAGATCACATATGCTTGCAGATCGTATATGCTTGCAGATCACATATGATTGCAGATCACATATGATTGCAGATCACATATGATTGCACATCGCATGTGGCATATTCTTGCATATGAAGCATTTGTGCATATGAAACACATGTGCATATGTGCATATGAAGCATATGTGCATATGTGCATATGTGCATATGAAGCATATGAAGCATATGAAGCATACGAAGCATACGAAGAAATGCTTGCAGATCGAATGTGGCATATGCTTGCAGATCGCATCTGGCATATGCTTGCAGTTTGCATATGCTTGCAGATCGCATATGCTTGCAGATCGCATATGCTTGCACATCGAATGTGGCATATGCTTGCAGATCGCATCTGGCATATGCTTGCAGATCGTATATGCTTGCAGATCACATATGCTTGCAGATCACATATGATTGCACATCGCATGTGGCATATGATTGCATATGAAGCATTTGTGCATATGAAACACATGTGCATATGTGCATATGAAGCATATGTGCATATGTGCATATGTGCATATGTGCATATGAAGCATACGTGCATACGTGCATATGAAGCATAAGAAGCATAAGAAGCATATGAAGCATACGAAGCAAAAAAAAGAAAAAAAAGCGCGCAAAGAAAATAAAACGCCCGCGCTGGGGGTTGAACCGACGACTTGGTGGATAGAGGGACGGACGGACTAGAGCGCGCTGTTCGCGCGAGTGGGCCGTAGCTCCTGTGCTGGCTGATGGCTCATATCTGCATTGCGCGGACAGTATGTGTCGTGCTTGTCCGTTGCATATGCTTGCAGATCGCATATGCTTGCAGATTGCATATGCTTGCACATCGCATCTGGCATATGCTTGCAGATCGCATATGCTTGCAGATCACATATGCTTGCAGATCGTATATGCTTGCAGATACATATGCTTGCAGATCACATATGATTGCAGAGCACATATCATTGCACATCGCATGTGGCATATGCTTGCATATGAAGCATTTGTGCATATGAAACACATGTGCATATGTGCATATGAAGCATATGTGCATATGTGCATATGCTTCATATGAAGCATATGAAGCATATGAAGCATACGAAGAAATGCTTGCAGATCGAATGTGGCATATGCTTGCAGATCGCATCTGGCATATGCTTGCAGA